GTGTGTGTGTGTGTGTGTGTGTGTGTGTGTGTGTGTGTGCGCGTGCGTGCGTGTGCGTGCGGAAGTGTGTGTGTGCGCGCGCGTTTGTCGGGGGTCAGGGGCCAGAGGAGGGCGCGTGTCTGATCACCCAGCCTGCGAAAAGAGTCGCATCCAAGCCAGCCGCTCGTTAGGAGGGAAGCCCCGTCACAGGCGTGCAAGGAGCGACAAACTGCAGGGCAGTGCGGTTTTTGGAAACATGCTGGAACGGCAGCCGCACTGGACAGAACCGGTGGCAGCCCTGGGAGCGCCTGCCTGGCCAGACGCGCGCTCGGCGACGGCGTGCGGGGGGTGGGGTGTTGGGGAACGCCCAGAGCGTGCCTGACCGGTGCGTGCGAGGAGGCCGCATCAGGTCGTGCGCGGGCGGGAGCGCGGTGGGTGCTGCGCTCACTTGTACCCATATTCTGGGTGGTTGGCCAGGAACTCGGCCTTGGCATGAAGCAGGGCCGGGGAGCACTGGGCCGCTGGGGCCGCGGGTTTCGGGACTGCTGTGGCCGCCGCAACAGTATGGCGCGCCCCGCCGACTGCATGGGGCGCACGTCGACAAAGGAGGGGTGCGCGTGGGCACGGGGCAGGTGGGCTCGAGTGGAAGCAGCTGGGCATGGGTGCGTTGTGGCGGTTTGCATGCGGGCGGGGGGCGCCGCTCACCAAAGGGCCCGCTGATCAGCAACACAGCAGCGGTCGCTGCTGCTGCGGCGGGCGCTTGCACCGCGACCTGGCGCCTGGAGTAGCTAGACGCTACGTCACAGTGTTTTTCGTCAAGTGAAGCGTTGATAAGGCTTGCACGGCTTCGGGGCCTCGAAGGTCGCGGGTGCCGAAAGACCTCCGGGACGCCCCCAAGAACACCCGTTTTGGGTTTCAAGAGGCGGTCCATTCTAACTGGCATCCACTTGTTTCGCTTTAGGAACAGAACGGTGTGCATGTGCCAGTTGCTGATGGACGACGGGCCCAAGTCGCACGAGCGGGGGCGCACTTCCACGAAACCAGCTAAGCCACAACGCGTTTGAAGTGCCTCTGCACAGAGCCGCCTCAGCAAAAGGCCAGGCCCCTTAAGACGCCATCACATGGCGATTGACGAAGCAGAACGGTTACAGTGCGGTCAAGCGCCAGTCAAAACTGCCTTGCAGGGAGGAACGGCGCTCGCAGGTGTTGAAGCGCTTACCGGGGCCGGCGCCGCACACGAAGGCGAGGCGAGACAAAATGGCACAAAAAAGTGAGAGCGGCGCCGATGGGACAGCCCCCTTGCCGGGGCGCACCGGGCGCGCCAAGATGTGTTTGCGCAGGGTGCTTGCAAAATTAGAGTGGCTCGCGCCGTCGCGCGCCGCCGGCGCACGTGCGCGCGGCCCGGGACTGTGGGCGCCGCCGGCGTTGGTGCAAGCGGTGTGTGACTAGCCGCCGCGTGCGTATGAAAAGTACCAGAAACTCTGGGTTGAGGTGGTGTGGTGTGTTCTTGTGATTTGCTTGTCAAGCCCAGCAAAGCGGGCACGGGCGCGGAAATTCAATACCATCCGCGCCGCGCCGCCGCGCGTCACGGCCGCCGCCACCTCCCCGCCGCCCCCAGTCAGCGCGCCCCGCGGAGCCGCGGCCGGCGCCACGGACACCCAACTCGCCACGCCCCCGCCCTAACAGGCGGTGCCCGCAGCTTCCCGCGCTCTACACATGGTGTAGCGCGTCCACAGATACTGGTGCCTGGCTCCAGCACCCCGCACGGGCCACAGGGCCGAGATTGTCGCGGGAGCGACGACAGCGCCCGCAGGCCGAGCTTCCAAGACGCAGCAGAGCCCCCGCTCGCGCGGCCACCGACCCGCCAGCTCAG